CTTAAAATGCAATGTAATCGAAAATGTTCAAATTGTTGCTATACCTGAAACCCAATTCATGAACAATGTTGAGAAGTTTCAGTTTGTGTTTGTGTATAACCAGATTTAGGTTAAGTCAATGTAAATAAACCCGTTCCTGTCAACCTTCAGCGACAGATCCCATGACACCATTCATTCATATAACTTGTTTATATCTTCGGCTGGAGACGAAAATACATAAACTAATTTTAAATCATCCTCAAAGGGGGAAGGTTCACCGTTTTAAAAGAGTAAGCACACGTCATTGATGAAAAGGAGAAAAATATACCTTCACTCTACCTCTTCTTGCTTGTGATCTTGGTCTAAACCATGATGTACTTTGTGTTGGTCAACTTACTAATACCGCCACAAGTAGCTATCAAAGACTCTATACGTTACAATATTTCGGAATGCCAGTCAAATTTACGTTCACCTCCTATCATTTTAAACTTTTGGTTTCGTTGCCTTTGGAATTATTGTGTGGAATTGTCAAATTCTGCGTATCTATGACCTCTGAATTTACATTTAACTTTCAGTGTGGAGCCAAGTCGCGGTTGACTATGATCACCACTACAGGAAGACTACGTGCCAGTTAACCGATAAGATCCCCCGTAGGCCAAATATCAGAAGGCAGTTGATGGTTGTAGTCGAGATGTATTTGTTGGCGATCTCGTGGCATCGAAAGGATACCGAGATCGTGCCAAAGGAGTACAAGTGTGGTTACTGAGCGTAACCGAATTCGTGCAAGGTCACAATCAATGAAAGGAAGAATGTCTTTAGTGCAGTTAAACAAACAAGCACGGTAAAACAAGCCCTGGTACTATTGATTATTATAATAATAATAATAATAATAATAATAATAATACTGACAGTTTCCGTTAAATCAATCGCGTTCTCTTGAAAAAGTAGGTCACTACAAGTTAATTCCCATATGGGAGCTGAAGTATTCCATGATTTTCGGCAAACACAAAACCTGAAACTCAAGTTAACTCAATGTGAACATAATGCAATTATAATAATTATGCATTATGTACGATAAACCTACCATCCTTCACTTCGCGGTATGGATGGAGCGTTAAATGTTTCTAAATCACGTTCTGTGCTAAATAAAATCTGGTAAAGAAAATAAATGCATGAAAAGATTGCGTGCTATAACGCACGCTTTATATGTGTATGTATGTTACTTGTAACATTTCAAAGCTAGTTTTGATTCTTATCTTACCAACGCGAGCATCTGTAGCAACAACCATATCAAAGCACAACCCATATTCCCCTAAATTTTGTAAAAATTGACATGCATCTGAACATTTCGTTTCATGTCGTAATGAGTAACATCCATTCGTTTCTATTGCTTTCAAGTCATTAACTTAACTTCACCGATATTGTGGGAACTTTCAATTTCTTCTGTGCCGTTTTTCTGTCATGAATAAATATATGAACACATTTAAGAGGGTGATAGAATCTTGTTGTTCCTAGTGCTTTCATAATTAACATAATCAGAAGCATGATCAAGTACTTCAGAATATAGTTAATGACTAGAAGAATGGTTCTATCAGTCAAGAAACAATATCCTATCGAAAGAAAAAGGATGGGTCAATTCAGTATGCTCCAAAAGTGAGCAATCATCTAGAAAATGAAATTATACAGAAAATGAAAAATGTATAGAATCAACTACGGGTTATCAATAACAGAAGTTTCATACACATAGTTCCCTTTATTATCTTGAAGAGAGCAGAAACAAAGATAATACGAACTCATTTTTCTCTCCGGATTCTCATCACCTGCTTGCAACCTATAATACTTTAAAGTCGAAATTATTATAGATAATATCATTTATAAATACTAAGGTGATTAAAGGTAAACATCATAGAACAAAAAAACATTAGATGATTGTGTAATGAAGTAACTGAAAGCAAACTAATGAGTCGAAGTCATCCAATACGGATGAAAATTATGAATTAGAGAAAACGACAGTGATGTAATCAAAACTTGAGAAAGAGTTGAATCAATGAATTATGCAATATAAATCATGTAATGTTACCAGGATAAAGGAAGATTTATTACTGTTTCTTTTCGAACTCACAGGTCTGATTTTAGACGTTTGCCCGCCATAGCTTTGGCAACTCTCAAACGTTTGGAATTTGATACATGAAAGTAAACTTACAACGTTATAAAACGTTACATTTTCTATATGGGACAGAATCCGTTTATCTCTAATACTAGGTCATAATTTAAAATTTCTACATAAAAGTTCAACAGAAATATTGCGTATATGTAACGGGAACATTATCTCTTTAGTAAGATGTGACTTCGCAACGCCAATTGCTGGCTCATCAGCTCCGACGGGCGAAACAATAGTGCTAAAATTAGCTTTCTCATTAAACAATTCAACTACACTACATTCTTGCCTTTTACTCGATGTTGACCTAGTGTTAAAAAATTAATCAAATGTTATCTACTAAAACAGTCTGTAAGAGCTCCATATTCAGGAGACAAAGGTACATGTAATTCGACGAGACTCTATCAATGAATATCAGTTTGATCTGCTTCTATTTTTGTTTTGAATTCAGTTGAAGGTTCAAAATTACAATTGTGATGTGTACTACGTATGCGGACAGACATAGGCAGTATATAGCAGGAATTGGAAGTAGAATACTCACCAGCAGGAAAGTATAGTAAAGAGAATAAACAGAAAAACGAAGAGCAATCAGAATAAAAACAGGATTGAGAGAATGATAGTGTGAAAGACAACTGAAGGAAAATATGTAAATGATGTATTTGATAAATGATTTAAGCATTTTACCAACTCCATGTGTAATTTTACATAAGACGATATATTAGTTATCCGTACCCGAGTTGTCGATCGTTACACTATCATCAGATAATTAAAAATTTAGTTTAACATCATGGGCATTATTGGCATTCTCTAATTTAAATAGTTCTTTATCAACAACACGGTTTAAGCTAGATTTACTTTCGGACAAAGATTATACTTTAAGTACTTCAACTATTATTCGTTAAAAATCTAACTAAGCTTCCTATTTTCCTTTGAAATAATCTTAGTTGGACTTTTGAAACTGTTTACAACAAATGAATCAATAACTAATAGATTACCTCTGTCACTAGGCTTTTTCTGTTTAGAAATAATTATACCTTGTATAAAACTTTTTAGATTACATGTCTAGTTTACCGTAATCTGTGGTACGGTTACTTGTGACTGAAAATTTATTTGCTTGCAGGTTAACAGAGACTTTGTCAACTATTCACTAAAATGATTGGAAGTTTACAATACATACTGATTATTGGTAAGTAATTTAATTTAATTTACACAAAAAATCAGGTACAAGTGGAGGCCATGATTTAATCAGCCTTAATTTAGACTAATTCCATTTATAAATCATTAGAATATAATGAGAAAAGCAAGATTAACTAAAACGATATGATGTATTTGCCAAATAAAATTCAAACAATTAATCAGATATGATTTCTTCAAATGAAACAAAAGAAAGTAAAAGAATGGATGATAAGCATTTTCAAAGTGACAATGAGTTATGTTATTTGATTTTTAAATTATGATGACTTCTTAAATAAAAAAAGGAAGAGAATAGTTGCAAGAAGTGAACTTTAGACTAGTTTTATAAATTGTTGACAAACAGTTCAAAATGTATTGGGAAATTTCCTGATTTGATGTGACTCCAAAATGGTGTCATTCAGTAGTACTTAGCAACACTCAATAACCCAGATACTACTAGTATATCTACAGTCTGTTAATATAAAATAAGTACACGAAGGTTCATTGGACAGTATATTTTACATAACTGACAAAACTGGTATGAATAATTACACTGTCAAAACAGTGTATCATTAAGAGCAAGAAGGAAGTGCATTATCATTCAACTGATAGACTTCAAAAAGTACACATTCTTCATGATACCAAGTATTCAAACACGTGTAGAACAATGCTTCTACATATACCCGTACAACGTTGTACTTCTCCATTTTTCTAATATCATCAGGGCAAAGTTTTTGGAGATTTGATGACGCCTGTTAGTTTGCTTCGATTCAGAGTAATTTGTAGTGCACCTATGAATAACCAACCTATGTAGTACGCAAAAATAAAGCAGTTTGCAGAAAGAAGATTTAAGATATAAAACAAAACATGACCAAAAAAGTTTATTTTAACTTTGATCCCGCTCTGGTAGTTGTTTGTTTATTTTCCATTCTATAGGTGATTCAAGAACTTCTCATTCCCTCCATGTTGTGCCACTGTCTTCTAAAGTTTTCATTTATTATTTTTTTATCATTCATTCAAATATTTATTTAGCTAACTCCATTTAGTTTTCATTCAAACTCAATTGACATATGAGTATGCAATTATATTGTTCAAAATAGATCCTACAAATACACGAAATCTACGAGGCTACGATATATGGAAGAACCAGATTTAAAATAACACGTCTTGGATTTTGGCGTGAAATTCACTCATCCGAAATGGCTAAATAACTCCTCCTGGAGTCCCTCTGGGGGCTGCTGCCGGTCCCAAACCCGAATAAAGGAGGAGGGTTGGGCACGGGGTTAGCGACCCCATCCCTTAGAAAATTAACTCTAAAAAAACGTTAACTAAAATGGCTAAATAGCATTTTCGGATTTCAGCCTATGTCGATTCATGATGAAAACCCTAACTTTTATTAATAATCCTAAAATCCGACTGTAAACCCTAATCCTAATTCCTCAAACTAATTTATAACACTCATTTAACCATAGTGAGTTGTTTTACACTCTCAAGGTCACTTAAGCATCGCTCAAAGGTCATCCATAAACTATAGACACACCACCAAATCTTGCAGTTTAACTCTAACTCGTTACATTTTAAATATTTTCTTGAATTATTTAGTAATCGTTCCTCAACGTTATGCCAATATTCAAATACTGCATTCGAAGTCTTAGCCTCTTGTTTACAAATTTCTTAAACCCATGAAAATACGATCATGACTAATGTTCATCAAAATTTAGGTTAAGTGAAATAACGTTTATTATATTGGGTGTAAATTTCTTGTGAATGTCAAATATTGAAAACAAACTGTCACCTAGTAAGATTCCATGAAACACCTTTTGGCCATGAACGAATGAGAGCTCAACATTATGTGACTCCATATATTCTTGTTTTCTTAAAAACACGACCTATTGCGGCTTTAGAATATCATGTCAGACACTTGACGTTCTTTGAAAACTGAATGATGAGCATGAAAACTGTGATCACTTTACTTAACCGATATTGTTGACAATAAAATACAGATGAGTCAAATTAGCCATTGAGTTATAACGCAAACTAACCATCTTTAATTCCCAGTTCTAGCTAGATTAGATTCCTTTACTTATTTTCTTTCGCTACTAAAAAGATATATTAATATACATATACGTCCGGCTGTTACTCAAAACAACTCATTTTTATCGAAAATCAGGCCTATATTTCTATCACTGAGGTAGATCACCATCAGTGGATTTGATATTATACATATATAGCACTTCCACATAACACAATAATTGAAACATTCACTAACCAAAAAGATGCAGTTGAAATAAGGGCTTCTAGGAATGATTTAAACAATTGAAAGCAAGATGTGACACAAGTATTATGATAAACAAGAATATATTGAAGGAGATAAGATTAAAGTTATAGGATGCCTAGTTCAAATCACATTAGTGTAATAAAGAATACTGAGTATAATTCTCTGCTTAACAATTACTGTAACTAACTAGTACTTAAAAGAAAAGAAAATTGTACATAAATTGCTATTTTTAGTTAATAATGAATTTACATTTCCATTTCAACTAATATTTGCTACTGTTCCAACGAATCTGTTTAAAATACTGCATGAACGAAAATGAAACAATATCTAGAAATTTTTATATTTCGATGAAAGAAGTAGGTAGATTTCAAAATTCAAAAGCCAAATTCAGTTTTTTTTTCATATTAAAATATTATACTTTTGTGTAGATCAAACGGTACTGAATATTTTACAGCAATGCGATAATATATGGTCAAGCTAAGTCAGCTGAAGAAATAAGGTTTGGAATAACGGTTCTAATTATTCAGTCAGTGTTCTTGATGTCTCCAGTTCTTTCATAATATATAGCACACGCTCTTCTTGCCATGGCTTACCAATAATTTGTACACCAACCGGTAAGCCTTCACTTGTTTCCTGATACTTGAATACCTCGGAAAGAAATCGATTGCCAACTTTCTTGTATTCTTCAGCCATCACTTTTGAGTTTTGTACATCTTCCTTATTCACATATCCTATTGGAACTGTTCCAGCTGGATAATCTAACAAGTTAAACAATACTGTATAAGCGATAGCTGGCGTAACAAACATCGATTTGGCCGACTTTGGAAATGCCGGAAAGGGGAAAACTGGACAAATGATTGCATCCAAATTACTAGCTTCTTCCATAGCTCTTTGAAATTCATGTCTATACAACTCAATATCTGAGATTAAATTCAATGTTTTTGCTTCGCCCCTAGGACCGTCCAAGAAACTTGTAACTGCAGCTGGTCTACCAAAGATAATATTCAATAATTTATCTATTATAACTTTCAGCCAGTGTGGGACACTAATTAAAAGGTGGAGAAATTTGGTGTGTTCATTTAGTGGTTCTGCAAACAAAGCCTCTTGAAGATTATATTTTGTGTCAACAGAAATCGCCTTCATACTTAATTCATAAGCCCATTTTATGTTAGGTGGATGAAACGGTAACAAAATATGACCGCGTTGTCTTAGAATGTCCACTGATTCATTCACTATTCTGCGAACACTTGGAACGCTAGTAATAATTAGTGGATCCTCTAGAGTCGTATAATATCCGATTGTCAATTTCGGCTTATCTGTACCCGCGTAGATCATATCATTAAACAGTAATGGTGGCACATATGGATCCATTTGAAACATTTTCGCTGTTAAAAGTGTACGCATTAATTTAGCTAGATCATCCACTCGTCTACCCATTGGTCCAACACTTACTCTCAACAATACTGACTTTTTATGACCGATCACACACACACCTTTACTACTAATACGATTGGTAGTTGGTTTTAAGCCAGCAAGACCGCAGAACACCGAAGGAATTCGTATACTTCCAGCCAAATCTGTTCCGATTCCAACTGGAGATCCCCGTAAACTTAGAAGTACACCTTCACCGCTAGAACTCCCGCCTGTTTCATGTTCTGATGAATGAGGATTGGACATATCACCAAATACTGGATTTATTCCACTCAGAGAAAGAGCTGTTTGAGAAGTTGCTGTCAGAACAAAAGGTATTGCTCCTTCATGTCTAAGTACTTCCAATATGCAACAATCTTCATGTGAAGGTTTATTACATCGTTCTATCAAACCAAATGTTACATCATATCCCTTGATCGAACACAATTCTTTTAAACTAATAGGAATACCAACCAACGTTTGTTTACTTGTAGGTAAGCGATTCAATTTAGCAACGTCAACAGCCAACTGCTCTGCTTCATCAAGAAATTCACATATTCCTGAATTTCCTGAGTCATATAATTGTAAAGCTTTAATTTGATAGGCATGTAATAAGTCAACTGATGTAAATTTGCCTTCAACTAAACGTTCTTGAATAGTATCTAAATTCAAATCTGTAACTGATAGTAAATCAATATTTGATGAGCTTTTCGTAGATGAAAGATGTTCTTTCAGACGATCCATTCCTTGAGCTATTGATTGTCTTTTACGTAATAATTTAGTGCGCAATTTAGACTTTTTCTTGAAATATTTCACAACATAACCAAGAATAAATACGATGAAAATCGGTAATAAAATTAAACGAATTGCATATTTTACTATCCATGCCAATAAAGTCGGAAGTAAATACCAACAGAATCGTAAACCTTGTTCCATATTTCGATTTCTAAAATATACAGAGTTTATAACATTATGAAATATTCAATTCACATCAGTTATGGTTCTTATATAAATAAATGATTATTAACTCATCGTATATGATATTGCAATTCAGTTATGTGAGCTATGAGTTTCATTTCTACAAGTACAGTTGTCTAGCACGCGACCTTGAGAGTTATTCTACGATTCAAACTTACGTATTATCATCATCTTATATATTTATATAATTAGCTTACCTATATATCTGATATTGGTAGATATGAAAAACTGATTAATAGATATACACTAAAAAAGAAAAGAACATTTTCGTAGTTATGTTTAAAGTTCCTAATATAAAACTACTTCAAACAATTCGATACATTTATCATTGACGCAGTTCAGCTTCCAATTTATCGTCATTTTAAAGTAAACACTTAAAATGAAGATCAGAGGCCTAGTGATTAAAGTATTCTGCTTTCAATATGTGTTTCACAGATTTCAACTTCATTCTATTTATTCCAATTTAGGTGGCTTGTTAATATACAAGCCCCCACATGAAATACAGCTGAAAGTCGAATACAGAAAACTAAACTTTGTAAATATAATACAGTGATGAATTAATTAAATGAATATACAACAAAATGACGTTTTCGTACGTCTAAAGGTTTATCCAATAAGTGAAAGAAAGAGGAATCTCAAGATATAAAAATTAGACTAGGAGTTATGAATTTTAGATTAATGAGAAATTATGCAAAAAGTATTAAAACACAGTACTATAAAATTCAGTAGTTGCAAATACAAAGTAAGAAACAGTAGGATAAAATTACAAGATGAAGTTATAATAAGCCATCGAATAATAAATAGCTTTATTGAAATTTACAAAAGAGGATTTACATTTTAAACTATATATATCTATATCATTTGATAGGAATTGTGTTAAATATATTGTTCAATGTGTTTGCTCTTAAGGAGACCTGGATAGGAAACATCATTAGCAGTGAAACCGTGATTTATTTGGTGTCAGATTAAATGACTGGAACTATAAGTAAATGAATAGTAAGAAAAAGTTTAACTGGATATTTGTAACTACTCGGTTTCAAGGAAACATTAGATAAGTAGGCAATTTTTACAAGTTTTGCTGAGTTTATGAAGGCTTTCACATTCCAAGAGCAAGAAAAACTAAAACGGCACAAAATGATAAAATACCTTATCAACTTTTAGTGTCTAGTACCATGTCAAGTCCACATGAGTTATTCTAGCTTCCAGATAGATCAATTTACCCATTATACTCAAGCTACATTTTGACCCTGTCACTTATTCGCTTATCAACCCTGACTGTTTTTACATGAGCATGCGTGTTAATCCCTTACCCTACTCACCACATTTCTGCAGCCTATTTTTCGTCTGACCATAAGTGTCAAGTCACGCTTGGTTAAATCGAGTTGCCTTCTCCAATCCGTTTTGCTTCGCTCTGTTCTTCGCTTCGTTTCTCTGATCATCTGTCTAGATCAACGATTATATGAAATATACGTATTCGTAATACATTTTCGTATTTCACTTATTTGATTCCGTTATTCACTAACGCGACCTAGATCGATAACTTTATACGAGGATTGGCGTAATGTATGTTTCAATAACGATCATAATACTATTTAAAAGGAGTCAGATATCGAGCCAGTAAAAATGGTGAGACAGTCGCTAGCATCATCTTCCGATTTGATTTGGCATTAAAACGAAGGGCCACACCAAAAACTAACTTTCTGAGTTGGTTTTCTAATTTATAGGACAACAAAAGATGTTTAATAAATAGGGATTGACAGACCTTACGGGAATCTGGAATTCAGAAATAATAAGCTCGGGAAAAAACTGTAGAGTTGATTAAAAGTGCAACTAATTGCAACTTGTGTTTAGTTAATTTAGTCATCTTAAAACAAAATTCAATTAGATCAAGGCATTTGTGTTTATACAGACAAAATTGGTCATCACTTATAAAATTGAAAATAGATAACTAACTCAAAATCATCAGATGTTCAATTATATATGGATATGACTACATGTCTATGGACATTCTGTGTTTAACTATTATTCATGGTAACGTTTTCTATATTTTCTATACGAATGTGCTATTTAAGAAGTAAGAATAAGTTCCTGATAGCTGGTTATTTTCTTTTAAATATATATTCATTTGACAGTCCTTTGTCGGTTATTTTCTTTTTATGCATAACCATTACTCTATTATAAAAACTCAATCAGATAATCGGTTAGATAACCATATATCTAATATTCATCCACTATAACAGTTGAGTGTACATTGTGATCGTGTAATTACCATCAATTTATAACAGTGAACAAAGACAAGTTCTAATTAAGACATAATATTACCTAGTATAAGCTATACAAATGTAAGGCGAAAAGTCATCCTTCGTCCAAGACTTTTATGCACCTCTCTTATGATAACAAACTAGTAAGATAATGAGCACAATGACTAATAAAATAATCCTGGCATCCTACAACAGCCTGCTATAAATACACGTACAAAATGAATCACTCCACTGCATCGTAATCATAAGCAAAAAAACATGATTTAGATATCATTACCTGGCATCTGATCGACATCACGATAGAATACTTAGATCATGTATATATATTTTCTACTTGATCTGGTTTGTTCACTTTTTCTGTTCAGACGTATATTTATTAGAAGAAAGTTATTAATTCTCTGACGAAAGCCCTGTGCTAAGTTACAAATTTTATTTAGAAGAATGAGTTAGGACATTATGTTATTTTTAGTATAGGCTTCTCATTATAGAATTGTCAGGATCAAATTATTTGACTTTAATTTTTATTTTTGAGAGAATTGCCAACTGGGACCAGAATACTTTTATGATTCTTCTTTAGAATAAATTTGGTTAGGGTTAGTAAATAACGTGATACATACTGAATTGAAGACCATGATTTTACACATACGAAAATAACTTGTACGTATCTGTATGATGATGGATTTTTCGATTGATTTAAAGCCTAGTTAAAGTATCTCTTTCATAATAACAATATTGCTTATCGTCCTTTACTCAGTATTTTTTCTACTATCAACTTCGTATTGTTGCACATATTCATTCACATTTCTAAATAAATTCAAATTGAGTATTTCTAGGTTATTGTAGATTTTATTATTGTTTGAACTGAAGAACTTCGTACTATGCTAACATGGAAGCTTTGAACCACCACAATTTAATATGAACAGTTGAAACATTCGACTACGTACTCTGTCAGTATAAATATCAATACACACTATTAAGAATCATATTGCATTTAACAGTACTGACATTCAGTTGATACGATTTTCAATCACTTATATTATTCTCAGAGTTACATTCTTTAACTTATCGGGTGCACTCACAACTGAAAACTGAAACTATACAAATTTTATTAGCTAGTGACTAGTTGATTTGAATAATTTAGCTTCAATAGAAATAATCGCGTGATGAACTGATAAATGACATCTCAGACTGATACCACTGTATCAAATGGTGTTTAATATACTTTAATCAATGTTGAGACCTATAAAGCATAAAAATGGTTATTATACAATGTTATAACAGAAAATAAAGCCCTTTCCTAGTATACGGTAAAATCTTTACTGTCCGTGAGAAATTAGCTTGGATTATTTTTTAACACATAACGGCTAGATAAGTTATATGGGGTGTTTCCATAACTAAGAAACCCTACCAGTTCAAATCTAAGCAATCTTTAAAATACTTACTTATGAAGATATTTCTGTAACAAAGAGTTGATAGATTACCTTGAAAGATGTTACAAATTACTTCCAATTGTTGATTTCTATATTTGAACACAACTGATTTTCAACTTTATTTTTTTTCTTTCTATGGTGAAATCCAGAACTTTTATTGGTTATTTATGAAGTCAAATCAGTGACAAGATTTTACATCAAGGTTACAGAAAATGTCCAATCAAACGTAAGACAGAAATGTATGTGGAATAAAGTCGTAATGATCTTGAAAAACATAAAGGACATGGTATTGATTATAATCTATTATCACAACCTAATTAGAAAATCATTCTGACCTTGAGTGGCTTTTCTCAAGTGACGTCAGTGACAGCCAATCATTGATCAGTGTTATATTGACTTGGAAATTTGACCTATTTCAATCATTGTGTATAAACAAAAACCATTTGAAGATGAAGTGATATTACTTATTCTGAAATGCGTTAGTTACTAAAAAAAAAGTTATACGACATCAATGTTATAAAGTTATCCAAAACTAATTATCCTATAGTGTTAACTCTATGAAAATGATACTGAATGGGTATTCTTATTTTCTGATAATTACAATGACATTTAATATATCAAATATGCAATGTTTGTAAATTTAGTATCATGTTCTTTTCGAGTGTTACAGAGATTTCATATTGTATTAACGCAACGGTGATTGCATAACGATTTATATAAAGTTTATTTGCTTATAATATTCTGTAAATTACCTATTTTTCATAATCAGATAAGTAAATATAATCATACTTCAGATAATGAAGTAATAATAATCTTTGATTTCAATATTGAACAATACTTACTTAATATTCGATAAAATATACGATCTTAGGATGCTACAATTTTCTATGGAAAGGTTTTAACGAACATCAAATTTAAATACAATCACCCATTCACTTTACAGTTGCATAATCTATTGTACGTTTATAAATGAAAAAATATATTTGTAATATCCCAATGAGTAGGAAAATTACATTTTCTGACGTTTTGTGATTTAGTGTAAGCCTCTTCTTCAGAGAATAAATAACCAGATCAGTTACGAAATGTCAGAAAATTTATTTTTTCCAATCAATGGGATATTACAAATATATTATTCATTTATAACAATCTACTCAATGCTCAATTAATTCGAAATTATCAAATCAAACCTTGGTAATAATTGTAGGTTTAAATTGAACTCAAAATATTTTATCCTTTGTAATTAAAAACTAAATAATCCACATCTGAAAGATAAGAATTTCCCTAAAGCAAAGGTTATATTCACTTATATACGTTGTTCAATTAGTTTATTCTCATACTTTACTTACTTTGTAAATGTATATTAACTACAATGTAGATTGTCTGACTATTACATAAAAATAAATTTTATAATAACAAATGTGGTTTTTTTTAGTGGGGCCCGTAATTTTGTTCTCTTTAGATCGGACGATGTTGGTTGATGGGCTCTCCAGTTAAATGTCATGAGAACTGACACCAAGGAGATTGTAATGATGATTGTTGTTGAAATATATATGTTGCCTATCCTCGTATATAATCATTGACTTAAATCGCGTTAGTCATTAACGGAATTAAATAAGTCGAATAACGAGAATGGACTTTCGAATACATATATTTTGTATATGAAGCGGATGGAATAGAGAGAAGAGAAACGACGCAAAGTGGAGATGGCTGGTAAGCCAACTCCCATTTAACCAAGCATTGGTCAGTAGTTCTAGTTACAGAAAAGTAAGTTACAGACATGTGATAAGTAATGGGATAAGAAATGTACGCACACTTACGCGCTCATATAAGCGAATAAATAACAATGTCAGAATGTGACTCAAGTAGAATGAATAGAATTGGCTGTCCGAAAGCTAGAATAAGGCATATGGGCTTAAAATAATAACAGACACTACAATACATCCAAACACTAAGATCGATGTAACTGCTAAGTAATAGTATAAAGGTTGATATCCTTATTTACATGCAGCCCGTTGATATCGCATCAAGTGAAATAACCTAAGTTTGTCCATCAAATATACATTTACAGAAAGTGTAAAAAACTAAACTCCCAATTTGAAGTGAATAGCCTTTCCACTAAGTGTAGGTCTCATTTGGCTAATGACAATTAAGTGCAGCCAGATTGTTCTCTACAGTGTTTATGATGGTTAACTATTAAAAAGTACCAAGAAATCATCAGTTCATTCAAACATCACAGACAACCCAGCAGGTTATGATAAAATACATATTAGATCAGCACACACACTTATGGAAGATCCACTTGTCACATGTTTGCACCAAAACCGAAACTTATAGGACGTGTATATCAATCCTGATTTCTGCAGTAACTGCGCATGCGTGATAAACTATTAGAGAAGTGGTTGTTTCAATGAAAGTTGATTCTCACTCACTAACGTGTGACTTAGTAACCTAATGGACAGACATTTTATTTACAGGTACACAAGGTAATGATATCCAGAGTCAAATCTTAGCTCATTTATTTCTTAATAGTTCCGTATATCATATTGTGTACCAAAGTGACTTAACTGAAGTTTCAGTTTGTGTTTGTGTATAACCAGATTTAGGTTAAGTCAATGTAAATAAACTCGTTCCTGTCAACATTCAGCGACAGATCCCATGACACCATTCATTCATATAACTTGTTTATATCTTCGGCTGGAGACGAAAATACATAAACTAATTTTAAATCATCGTCAAAGGGGGAAGGTTCACCGTTTTAAAAGAGTAAGCACACGTCATTGATGAAAAGGAGAAAAATATACCTTCACTCTACCTCTTCTTGCTTGTGATCTTGGTCTAAACCATGATGTACTTTGTGTTGGTCAACTTACTAATACCGCTACAAGTAGCTATCAAAGACTCTATACGTTACAATATTTCGGAATGCCAGTCAAATTTACGTTCACCTCCTATCATTTTAAACTTTTGGTTTCGTTGCCTTTGGAATTATTGTGTGGAATTGTCAAATTCTGCGTATCTATGACCTCTGAATTTACATTTAACTTTCAGTGTGGAGCCAAGTCGCGGTTGACTATGATCATCACTACAGGAAGACTACGTGCCAGTTAACCGATAAGATCCCCCGTAGGCCAAATATCAGAAGGCAGTTGATGGTTGTAGTCGAGATGTATTTGTTGGCGATCTCGTGGCATCGAAAGGATACCGAGATCGTGCCAAAGGAGTACAAGTGTGGTTACTGAGCGTAACCGAATTCGTGCAAGGTCACAATCAATGAAAGGAAGAATGTCTTTAGTGCAGTTAAACAAACAAGCACTGTAAAACAAGCCCTGGTACTATTGATTATAATAATAATAATACTGACAGTTTCCGTTAAATCAATCGCGTTCTCTTGAAAAAGTAGGTCACTACAAGTTAATTCCCATATGGGAGCTGAAGTATTCCATGATTTTCGGCAAACACAAAACCGGAAACTCAAGTTAACTCAATGTGAACATAATGCAATTATATATAATTATGCATTATGTACGATAAACCTACCATCCTTCACTTCGCGGTATGGATGGAGCGTTAAATGTTTCTAAATCACGTTCTGTGCTAAATAAAATCTGGTAAAGAAAATAAATGCATGAAAAGATTGCGTGCTATAACGCACGCTTTATATGTATGTTACTTGTAACATTTCAAAGCTAGTTTTGATTCTTATCCTACCAATGCGAGCATCTGTAGCAACAACCATATCAAAGCACAACCCATATTCCCCTAAATTTTGTAAAAATTGACATGCATCTGAACATTTCGTTTCATGTCGTAATGAGTAACATCCATTCGTTTCTATTGCTTTCAAGTCATTAACTTAACTTCACCGATATTGTGGGAACTTTCAATTTCTTCTGTGCCGTTTTTCTGTCATGAATAAATATATGAACCCATTTAAGAGGGTGATAGAATCTTGTTGTTCCTAGTGCTTTCATAATTAACATAATCAGAAGCATGATCAAGTACTTCAGAATATAGTTAATGACTAGAAAAATGGTTCTATCAGTCAAGAAACAATATCCTATCGAAAGAAAAAGGATGGGTCAATTCAGTATGCTCCAAAAGTGAGCAATCATCTAGAAAATGAAATTATACAGAAAATGAAAAATGTATAGAATCAACTACGGGTTATCAATAACAGAAGTTTCATACACATAGTTCCCTTTATTATCTTGAAGAGAGCAGAAACAAAGATAATACGAACTCATTTTTCTCTCCGGATTCTCATCACCTGCTTGCAACCTATAATACTTTAAAGTCGAAATTATTATAGATAATGTCACTTATAAATACTAAGGTGATTAAAGGTAAACATCATAGAACAAACAAACATTAGATGATTGTGTAATGAAGTAACTGAATGCAAACTAATGGTGATGAAGAAAGACATGAGTCGAAGTCAGCCAATACGGATGAAAATTATGAATTAGAGAAAACGACAGTGATGTAATCAAAACTTGAGAAAGAGTTGAATCAATGAATTATGCAATATAAATCATGTAATGTTACCAGGATAAAGGAAGATTTATTACTGTTTCTTTTCGAACTCACAGGTCTGATTTTAGACGTTTGCCCGCCATAGCTTTGGCAACTCTCAGACGTTTGGAATTTGATACATGAAAGTAAACTTATAACGTTATAAAACGTTACCTTTTCTATATGGGACAGAATCCGTTTATCTCTAATACTAGGTCATAATTGAAAATTTCTACATAAAAGTTCAACAAAAATATTGCGTATATGTAACGGGAACATTATCTCTCTAGTAAGATGTGACTTCGCAACGCCAATTGCTGGCTCATCAGCTCCGACGGGCAAAACAATAGTGCTAAAATTAGCTTTCTCATTAAACAACTCAACTACACTACATTCTTGCCTTTTACTCGATGTTGACCTAATGTTAAAAAATTAATCAAATGTTATCTACTAAAACAGTCTGTAAGAGCTCCATATTCAGGAGACAAAGGTACATGTAATTCGACGAGACTCTATCAATGAATATCAGTTTGATCTGCTTCTATTTTTGTTTCGAATTCAGTTGAAGGTTTAAAATTACAAATGTGATGTGTACTACGTATGCGAACAGACATAGGCAGTATATAGCAGGAATTGGAAGTAGAATACTCACCAGCAGGAAAGTATAGTACATATACGTCCGGCTGTTAC